TTTTGGTATATTTCATTTAAGTCAAGCATTGCAAATGAAATATGAAAGTTAAATATTTCACTACTCGCTAAAATTATTTTCTCTCACTTTAAGTTTATTTTATCTCTTGTAATCTTCTGTTTCAGATTTTTTGAATTTTGAAATTTTTGGAAAAAATCGAGTAAAAAATTCAAATTTTTTTAAATTAATGGACTAAAAATTTTTTTATGGTAAGAAGTTTGAAATTCAAAATTATCTCCCATGAAAAGCTATCATGATTCAATCTTTTTTTTTGCTCGTATTTTTTATCCATTCGTATATTTTATTTTTAAGTTTATTTTTTTCCACTAAATAAAAGAAATTTTTAAGAGTTATTCAACATTGGTATCAAAAAATATGAAACTCTTACAGATATAAGCGAACAAACTATTCGACCAATTAATAATTTACATGAAATTCTTGACCAACTAAGCTTCTCTTCCGGAATATCGAGTTTTTTTTTTTTTTTCAGGGTCTTGGATCAATCTACCTGTTTCGTAATCATGATGAAGTGGAATCATTTGATCGTTACAGTAATAGCGGTTATAAAACTCTTCGTCCAGGTCATCAGTATGAAATTGGTGCCCGAGATTGTGATGGATTCATTTCGAATACATTTAATAATGCTTCCAGCTCAATTTCCAATTATTCGTTACGCTATGAAGGAGATTTTTATGTATGTTTCATATGATTTTAAAAATTTCAAAAAATTAAACCCAGAATAAATTTTTATGAAATCTATCATAAATTACTTTTGATGAACGGCACAATTTTGATGAACGGTAGAATTTTGATGAACACCAGAATGTTGTCACTTTTTTTTTTCATGAACTGCAGAATGTTATCACTTTTTTAAATGAAAATTTACATTTTTGAAAATTTAATCTTTCTCAAAAAATAAAGAAAAAAAGCGGAAATGAGTATGAGTATTATTTATTAAATTGTATGAAAATTTCTCTGACTACAAGTTTCAATTTTTATAAATGTTGAAAAATTTTAATTTCGAATAAAATATTTTGTCGTTATCTTTTCAGCGTAATGATAGTCTACAAAATGAGAGAATCGATGGAAGAATATCCGTACAAAATGGTTATTCGATGTCACGTTTCCGTATTTACGGTCGTGATTTTACATTTGTAAATCTTAGCTTGCATACCGTACCTTTTGAAGATATCAAAGAACTCGTCGAACAGGTTAATAATAATGATTTTTTGTCAATAAATTAATCAAATAATTCTAATATAATTTTGCACGAAGTAAAATTGTAAAAATTATATTATAAAATATTTCCAACTAAAATTTTCAAAAATTTCATTATGCAAAATTTAAGTATCAGAGAAAAAAAAATTCTAATAACCTAAATACGACATTTTTTTTTCTTTTCTTTGTACAGCCCGAAACAACCAAAGCTGCACTATTGCGAAGAGATCAAATTGATATTTTGCTCAGAGAGTTCGTTTTTTTTTCTCTCTTTTTTTTATGATCAAAATTTATTGATTGCTTTGGTAATTATCATCCAATTTAGAAATACAGATTTGTCAGTGTAAATAATAAAATCATCATATATAAACAGGTTCTGTTTTTTTTTTTTTTTTTTTGACACGATTTATACATTGAAAATTTGTGAAATTTTAGGGAACATTTCTAAATTATTCAAAAAAAAAAGTATAGTTATTATTAAATAACTATAACAGAAATATGCAGGATTGAATCGGAAGGATTAAAAGATGGTTCGGTTCTTGTTGCTGGTGCTTTTAATGCCCAACTATTTGAAACACAACTACTTAGTGTATGTTTTTCCATTCTTTTTAAAATGAGTCTTGAAAATTTTTATCTTATTTAGTTTAAAAGAAATAATTTTCTATTCTTTTTAAACTTAATAAGTTTAATTTGAAATAGAAGAATTTTTAGCGATCGGAAAAGAATAACTAACATTCACAGAAGTACAATAAAATCCAATATTTAACACCAATCGATTATCAACATCAAACAAACGAAATTCACAAACACTTAAATCATCTAATGATTTATACACCATTGATGATCATCGATGATCATTAAAGTCAATTCATGGAATTAGTCAAAACTCAGGCCCATCTATAATAATTAAAAAATTTAACAACTAATACTTGCAAAAACAACTCAATGATTCTTCGATCGATTGATCCTTCGCTTCAAATTAAAGTTTAAATGAAGCAATAATTCTTTCATTTTTTTTTTTTAAATTATTTATTTATCAAGGATATGGCAAATACTCAAAAAGCTACCAGTTATGCAAGAAAGAGTTCTGATGGCAGATTGGAAGGTATCGAACAACGTGATCGTCACGGACGAGTATATTTTAACCTTTATCATTTTGTTAAAAATAATCATTATGTTGATTATTTGTAGAGATATGGTATGTTATATTAAATATCTTAGACGAATTATAAATGATGGAAAATTGCTATAAAAGATAAGTTATAATTTTAATTCTAAATATCTATAACATGTATATCTAAATTATTATATTTAGTTACTAATAGATTATAAATTTTCAAGTTAAAATTTATAAACTTTTCATTTGAATTTCCAATTTTATTCAGCTGCTTTCTTATTTGTCTTCCAAAGCTACTTTTTTCTAATTTTCTTTTAGTTATACGAAAATTGATCATTGAAAAATTTGAAATACTTTTATGTTTGATATTATCATATTGAAGAGTGTGCTAACTGTGGAAACTTATCGTTTTGATCTTCATTCCATACATGATTGGTTCTTTCGCCTCGGTAGAGGACAGATGGTTAAAAAATACAATGGTGAACTTGCACAAGTTGTTTTTGCCGGTAAATTACTGGAAGAATCCGTATTTTTCCAGGTAATCGTAATCTTTATCCTTTTATCCAGTAAAATTTTCATCAAATCAAAAAATAAATATTCATAAATTGCAACAATAATTGTAATATGTTTCTTTCATCGTTTATTATGAATTGTATTTTGAGTTGACTCATAGATTGATCAATCAATCCTACATATAATCTAATATTCTTCAAAATTCACAATTCTAAATTAAAAGTTCTTTATACATTTGCATTAATTTTTACAGCCATCACGCCATTATGGTATAAGTAAAGCGACAGGAAAGGAGGAATTCATGAAAAATTTATGTCCAGCTTGGGCTGATCGCGTATTATATAATGAAAAGTTGAGCGATTTATTCAGACATGTAAGTTTTACTAGTAATTTAATTACGGGAAAAATAGCTCAAGTTAAAAAATGAAACTGAAGTTATGGAATGATTAATTCGAACATATCTAGCTTGGAAGTATAGTATGCAGCATATTAACATGATATAAATGAATTTTACGTTTAATTTTATGCATTTCAAAATACTTCTTTTGTTTCAATACTCTCGTTTTTTTCAGGATTCATTTTGCGCATCTGGTCTCTATTATGGACTAGTAGCGGAGAAAAAATTCGTTGGACAACATAAACCAGTAGCTTTACATGCTACAATATGCCTTAAATAATCAGTTGTGATATGATGATACTTTCAAATCCAAAAAAATTCAATTCAGTACTCCTTTTATATTTCCTAAAATATAAAGTAACGACAACAACAATAACAAATTTATCAATCAATCAATCATTCAACCAGCTAATGAAGTCATCTTTAATAAATTTTTTTTTTCAACTTTAATGAAAAAAAAAACCTATGAAAACACTTTATTGTATTCTGTTTATAAAAAAAAAAAAAGATATGTGGATTGTTTCTATATATGTGCGTGCGTAAAACAAAATAATGAAACCTTTTTTTTTCCTTTCTTTTACAGACAAATACTCCGTTTCTTTCCTTCAAATATTCCATTTTATTCTGTTCTATCTTTTGTATAACATAAATTCTCTAATTTTTTATCGTGCTACTCTTTCAACACTTACGTTTTCTGACAAAATACAGCTTGCATAATGAATATCCCAGAAAATCCAACAAATATCTAGAAAAAAGCATTTTAGTTATTATTTAATTTCTGCTTCATTTCTATTTGTAATAAAGCAATTCAAACTTTATGATGACATAATATATATATAGACAATTATGCAAGGTTTTATCACTTAATGGATGTATGACAACACACAGTTGCATGGAAAACTTTCGTTCAAGTAAAAAAAAATTTCAGCTATTATAAACTTACAGTACGGCATATCACCAAAGCCTTACCTGTATTAAGGTTGCAAGGTTGTGGAGACGTTTTATGCAAATCTCCACAACTTTGCAACCTTATTACTTCTTATCTATCTTTTTACCTATTTCTGTGACTGCTAATAGATAAAAATATGTTCCTTTACAATGTAGTTAGCCAAATAAATATTTCGCTACTAGCGATCACCAGAGAAAATCAAGTAAAAAAAATGAATCATAGTAAACCGACATTCGTGCAACAATTAATAATATTTCCATCATAAATTCTGCTCATTAGTCCAAGATAAATATTTACTATACGATAATGGAAGTTTTCAACCTAGTTACATAACAAATTAAAAACATAGCAAAGATACAACTTATTTGAAGCATAAAAAATTTGAATTATCAGCATCACTCCACACTGTCAAACATTTACATTGATCAACAACCATTTCGTGATCTTACTATAAATTATAGTAATTATAACTAATTATAGCAAAACTGCTAACCCAGATATTCAATATCTGACATTCTTTAATTTGAAAAAGAAAGGAATGAAAATCATTAATGAAATTTATAAAAATTGAACTAATCCAGTTAATTTCGATGTCTGGCTCTTACTGGTAACTGTGAAGTATCCATAGCTGAATCTGCCGCGCTATCGAAATATGATCCTAGAGAGTCATTACTGTCCTCGGAATGCAGATGCACGTAACGAGGATTTCGTCTGTTGGCTATTTCTTTCCATAACAGCGGTGTCAAACATAGAATTGTACAGAGCATCTGCAATTCAAAAAGCTCCAATAAATTTTTCTCTCTAATACATCCAAAATTTTCTAAACACTACAATGTCATAATATAAATATTTTGTGTCCTAAATTTTTAATCCAAAAACTTTGTCCAAATTTTAAAATATAAACTGCCAGAGTAAAATAATGAAATGCAGTACCATAACAATAAAACCGTAGAAGACAGCTGTCCAACCAAACACAGCTTCAATTTCTGGAATAAAAAGCTGACCAATTCCTGCACCAACACTACCAGTCCCATCAATAATACCTGTAACTGTACTCAGTGCTTCCGATGATCCCCTGATTTGTTCAGCCTTTCCTAAAATATAATAGTCTTTTACTAAGTATGTCTGACATTCGCAGAAATTAAGTTCATCTTTCTGGATACATCTTAGAAATACTATGAGTTAAAAAAAAAGCTCACCAAGATCAGCAGAAACAGCAGACGATATTAGATTAGCCGGTCCACCGATAAAAAATCCGGTTAATGCCATTAGGAATGAATTAATCAAAACATTGTCTGGTGAATCTAGAAAAATGATAACTCTGCTTATGAAACGCGTATCTGTCAAGATTCTACCAACATTTTCACTTGATTTATACACTTTTTTAAGCAAGACGTTACCTAATCTTTATTTGTCCTATTACCAGCACCAAGCTAAATTTAACATTCCACTATTATGTCTTTTTTTTTACTATATCTCCTCCGCATATTCGGCAACGTAAATATATATTAATTACCGAATAGTGTACTGAAATGCTTAAAGTGAAATAAAACTTAAAGTATATAACAATCATCCTTTCAACATAAAATAGTTTTGAATAATTAGAACTTACTAGCATAAGCAAATAACGAGCCCATTGAAAAAATTAGCATGCATACCAAAACTGGAGTACGTGACGAAAAATGATCCTAAAATGAAAAAGATGGATTTTTCAAGATTAAAATTCTCATGAATCATTGTTTTTAAAATAGTTTAATACATATCCTCTACAGAAAGAGGTAAAAGTTAGGTAACTCACAGAAGCAATGCCAGCAATAACTGCAGCAACGATACCACCTATATCATACCAAGCTGATAGTTCATCAGCAATAGATTCTTTCCATCCGTAATGAGCATGGAGATAGAACGGTAACCAGAAGAAAAATGAATAATTAACCAACTTGAGGCACGCATATGCCAACGAATACTGAAATAATAATTCAACAATATGATTATTATATAAATAAATCTTCAAAGATTCAACTAGTTTACTTATTGGAAAAGCTTAAATCATAGAGAAACGCACCGCAAAAACACCCGGAAGACGCCAAGCTTGCCAAAAACTGATCGCCTTTGGTCGTCCCAAATCATTCGAAATAGAAATTACTGCGTCACGCTCTATATGAAACGTATAACTTAATATTTATCTAATTAAATGTATACTCCTAACCACCCACTATGTTTGGAAGAAGGAATGATTAAACGATTAGGATTGTTAAGTCTTTTTTCGAGAAATTAGTATCCATCATACAGATGCATT